GTGAGTGCGACACCTACTGTACTGGTCGGGAATTATGAATCCTATATCTATGCCCTTTAAGAAGTGCCTCAATCACAGTGCACTTCTCTTTACTAAGCTTTGCTGTCGTGTCCCGATGTGAGGGTGCATGAGCCAAAAATGATGTCATAACGTATTTTGCATTAAGCATGAAGGCTCTACAAATTGTCAGTCATTGTATCGAACCCGCCCTGTATTAGATAAACTGTTGTGACTGGCCCGACCCAGGCCAGGTCAGCTGGAAAGCTATCTGAACGAGAGGGAAATGAGATGCATCTGTCAGAGCAAATAACTGGTTCCCAGGCAAACATACTGGGGGATGCCAACCAACATCACAATGTAATAGAATGCAATTTTCCAATCATATATCTGCGATACAAAAAATACAACCAGGTTGGAAACATCTGGCCCCTTAGGCTCCAGGTGAAAACACACACACACTGCCCTACACTTCACGTGACATATGCAGATGAGAGTAGTAAAGTGCCATGCACAAGATTTGATGCTCACAGTGGTAGAAAATGGCAGTGGTCAGGTTTAAGTGCAATCCACATGTTGACATGTTTGCTGTAGCGAGTGTGTGGTCTAGCAAGGGAGAGCGATACGGTGTACGCGCTAAAAGCAGGCGTGTGTTGGTGACTGGAGCAGAGAGTCTCCCGTGTGCTTCCTGATCTCAGTCTGAAAGCCAAAGCAGGAACAGTGAACATGTTTACAACGAGGCTTTGAGTTATCTCGGTATTTTTAGAGTTGCAGAGCCACAGTCAGTGTGCACTTTAGTTTGATTTGATTCTGTAATTGACTGGAGATATTTATTTTTCATAAATGAATGTTCACACCACGCCTGTTGTTCTAAAGTGCTCTGTTGTTCTTCTCTCAGATTTTACTGAAAGGTCCAGTGTGTAGGATTTAGGGGCATCTATTGGCAGAAATGGAATATTATATTCATAATTATTGTTTCCATCAGCCCCTGACACTAAGAATAAGATGTATACACTATAGTTTGTCTCTAGGCTGTTGTTTTCCAATATTTGCCTCTGTTGACTTGTAACTTATTCTGTCAATCTGAATGTACGGAATTTATTCAGTTTATTTATGGCCTCATATCTCATCCATTTCTCATCTATCTTTGAACTAATGGGCTTTAGGGTTGCAGCCAGCTATTAGTTATTCGCTTCAGGGCAGCACCTCTGAGTATTCTTTATAAACACTGGTCCATTTGCTGCATTCGATTTTTGAAGAACAATATATATATGGGGTAAAATGTTTTTTTTTCATGCTATGACTGAACGCCAAAATGATTTCAAAATGGGACAGAAAAAGTCATTCACACGGAAAAAGGCATGAATGACTTGCCTTTAAGGCTGTGACTGGGTTTTTTTCTTACTTGGCGAAAAAGCAACTTATCACTGTGGTTTTGCGGTTCAGTTAATCTCATTTCATCATATTACGTAGACCCAGTGTTGTGTAGGTCATCCTATAGGATGATTTCTTGCAATAGCAATATTGGTCTAAGAATTTGTGATTAGATTATTTTCCCATTTTATTCAGCCTTATGGTGACGACCTTACAATTGCCAGTAAGTGCAACATGAGGCTATAGCTACCATGAACTATTAGATGCGTCTATCTGTAGCAAATACAAGTGGATATTACATGTTTTCTTATATGAATTGGAATATACAGATGATGAATTGCAATGGATGCCTTGAGGGAAATGTATTTTCCATATCCACTTATTCCTGGGGAGCTGCAAGACATCCCAGAATGCACTAAGTAAAAGCTACTGAAACATTCTTAGGGGGGTTGACAGTTTGCTGACTGACACATCCACACATTCAGTTCAACCAAACTGGAGAGAGTGCTTGAATATTACACCCAATGAAAGTACTGTTACTTAAAAGAAATTTTACTCAAGTAAAAGGTGAAATGTAGTTGAGTAAATGTACTCTGAGTAAAGTTTACTGCATTACATTCTTTAAAAGGAAACAGCATTACACCACGAAGCCTTACGTCCAAACCAACAACAAATTACATTTATCTAGATGGTGCTTTGCAGCCTGTGCACAATTATAAATATGCATCAGCCCTCCTCTGTACTGCCCCACTAGGCTTCACAAGAAAAGAGGACAAAACTCAGACAATTAAACAAAAATGACCAAAACACGAGTCCAAGGACACCCGGCGTGTGCAACAAGCATTAATAAGACATGCTGCAACTTCTTGTAGAATCAACAGCACAATAAAACAACCAAAGCAGACAACACAGAGGTGTATAAACAATAAAAACTCCACAGCAACTGCAGCCACACACACAAACACACACACACACACACATTAAAGGGGTACTAGACCCATTTTCAAAGTTCATACAAGTTATTCCTATAGTCTAAAACTGCCCAATAAGATTAGTAAACATGAACAACTCTCTCCAACATCCACACTCTGGAGTGCTGAAACTCAAACTTGATGATGTGAGGGGGTATAAAGTCTGGAGCTGCTCCACTACCAGTGTACTTGGAAAGATGTTGTAGATGACACTCATCCATATGGTTAGATTTTCAGTTTCAAAGCTGAGGACATTACAACAGAAGAAAGCTCATTTAGGTATAAAAAAAGAAAACAAAGATTTTGTGTGTCCACACAATCAGGCTCTTGTTCATTGTCTATGGAGCAGCTCCAGACTTTATGCCAAGTTTCACAAGTTTGGGACTTCTCTGGTTTCTGACTTTGATAGAGAGTAGCTCATAGTCACACATATAGACTGAACTTTCTTAGGCCATGATAATGACATATTGGAATAATTAATTTAGGTAGTGTTACCCTTTAAGGCAAAAAAGAGAGCTATAACACAGTTTCTGCACACTGCAATGCACGCATACATGCGTGCATTGCAGTGTGCAGAAACTGTGTTATAGCACACTGCAATGCACGCATACATGCAACATTATGTTTCCAGGCAACACAGTGATACATTGAGTAACAGATGGTGAGTTTCTTGCTCACTTGTCTGAATGGTTTTCTGTTAGTTTTAGACAAGGTGAAGTCCTCCTAAATCCTCTTCAGGTTCAACGCCTTAGCTTGTTCATTCTTGATACAAACTACAACCGGGCCACTCAGCCTCTCTAGTCTGTTTTTCCACTGCGCTCCTCTAAGTCTTCAAAAACTTTAAAGAGGCTCTGCAGTCACAACATGACAGGAAATTATTGTCCAAAACAGCATTAAGGTCTCACACACCTCACTGAAGGTAAAAGTTCTGCAGTAAACCCAGAACTCACCTGTATGATCCACCTGCACATTTTTGTATTTAGCATATCACCATACCCAGCCTGCACCTGTCCGCTACATCATGGATGTGTTTGATTTGGGTCACTTAACGTCCTGGCTAGCTAGTGTATTAAATCATAGATTTATTAGGGTAGCTGCAACCTTTGTTTTGGTTTTTTTTTTAGATAAATGCTGAGCTACAATAACGCTAACCATAACCCATAATGCTTTGATCCTTGATTTTATTGCACTGATATGCATTTTTGTACAGATAGCTAACTGCTAATCCTGGTCCGGATGTGACCTAGTAGGAAAAAAAAACAAACACTGAGAGGCTGGGAAGCTTCCTGTGTTTCTCCGAGGAGGAAATCAAATCACAATATTTTTGCCCAGACTTTTTTATTGATATGGTAGGGTTTCACACGCATTCATGTACTTGTGGCAGCCCGTCACGATTAAAATATCTGATATCTGCCACCACAAATAGATTTTTTTTGGAGCTGGGCTGTTCAGTAGGAGCGCTATTGGAATATATAAACCATTTGGCTATTTATAGCACCACACTGACGGAGCTCAGAGTGCATTCAGGGCAGAGATGGAGCAGCAGAACCTCAGGCGCCTTGAAAGTGAAACTTAACCATTCATTCTGCTGGATCCAACAGTTTGCTTCTGCAGCAGCTGCTCCTCTCATCTGTTGATCCGATCTGATCAGCCCTGAATGGATCGACAGATCAATTATCCACTCCATGAGTCACAAACTGCTGCTGAGGAAAAGAAAACTCACAAAGCTCCTCCTCCACTGCATTTATAGACCAACAGAAAACAACTTGTAGGGACACAGCATCATACAAAAGGACACACAGGCATGTAAAAACATATATATTTTTGGCTTTTGCCTTAATTTGACAGGACAGTTTTGAGCATGAAAGGGGGAGAGAGACAGGGGATGACATGCAGCAAAGGAACATGGGCTAGAATCAAACCTGCGGCCACTACGACAAGGACATTGCCTTTGTACACAGCGTGCCCACTCTAACCGCTGAGCTAGTGGGTGCCCCACACAAAGGCATTTAAAAGGAAAAAATGAATTAAAAATAAGTTAAGTTGGCTGTCATTGTCCACTCCCACCACCCTTCTGTCATCAGCTAACGCTATGAGATACAATTGCCCACCCCTATGCAACAGACTGCATTAAGTTATCTTTTGCTGATCCAAGGTGTGTAGTTTTACAATGACTGAGATGTGAAGAGTTGTCTCCTATTATAGCAGTTATTTTCCCAATGAATTAATCTACATAACTTTTTCTCAACTCATGATTGTGGACTGTCAGCAAATCATGAACAGATGTTTAATTTCAGTTTCAAGTCCAAGGGGATGTCTTTTGTTGTCCAATCAACAGCCCCATAAAAACCAAAGATATTCAGTTTGCTGTCATACTGTAAAAGGCAAAGAAAATATTCACATTTGAAAAATATTACTTTAATGAGCAATGATAATCGAAAAAGCTGATCAGCTAATTGGTAAATTGCCTTATTGATTCAGCTCTAACTGCAAGCTAAAGCTGTATTTCTGATGAGGAAGGGATGACTGTGTAAAAAAAATCAAATTTTTTCCTTGAATAGAACAAAATAAATATTAACTTAAGAACTTCTTTTGTGTCTCTGTTTGTGTCCTGGGTGTTTGTTGGTGTGTGTTTGTATCTGTGTGCGTGTGTGACAGGTTCAGAACATTAGCCAGTCAATGGAGGTGCTGGACCTGCGAACATACAGAGATCTACAGTATGTAAGGAACACCGAGAGCCTAATGAAAGTGGTGGATGGAAAGCTGAAGGTGGCCTCTGAAAATCCCCGCAGTCTCAATCCAAAGGGCTTTCAGGTAATTGGCTGTCACACAGCAGTGCACATATGTGTATTATTCTTGAGCGAATGCAGATACTGTTAGATGTGGCACTGCTCTCTATGTGCACACAAACTTCGCCAGATGCATTGCAATCTCTTTCACTCTTCACAGACAATAAAATTTTGTATGACTCTCGATAGACTGCCGCATAGGTACACAAATTCAATTCCAAAACCATCTTTGAGTCATTGAGTCATGCGCAGAGGAAATCTGAGCAAATTCACATGCTGCTGAATTATTAAACTCCTGGACCTAGATGATTCCTCTCTTTACATGCTTTCCCCTCTCAACCTCTCTTCCTCCATATACTTAACATTCTGCTGTCTGCTCTTAGATAACAGGCACATATATTTGCATTTATCTCTACCTTATCTCTCTACAAGCTAAGGCTCAGCTGCCATTATCAATGGGCCTTTTTGTCTTCCTGTCAGCATGCTGTCTTGCCCAGGCTTTCTCCACATTTCTCACACCCTTACACATATTAGATGGACCATAAAATAGTTTGATTAAAAGATGCCTTGATAAATGCTACGTGTGCTTTACCGCCAAGACCCTGTCTCAGCACAGTGACAGGCAACGGCTGTGTTTTGCTCTCAGTGTGTTTTATTAAAGTGAGTCCAGTGGAGGTAATGAAGATGTTTATGGAATTAGCCAATTCCTCAGCAAAGCCTTAGATGACTAAAATATGCAGAATAGTGAGCATTATATCCCAGGACTTGTCTGAATGCAAATTCACAATCCAATAAAGAGAAAAAAGAAGTCTTTAAAAAAAAAAAGCAGGATTTGACCAAAGCAGGTTGGCTGATGAATGTGTGCAGCTCAAAGTTGCCAATGGCAGAGTGTGGGAGATTAACGAGACCGAATTTTCGCGGCTTGAAAAGGGGAAAATGAGATTTATGATGTGGCGCCACAGGGCTGAGAGCTGCTCCATCACCAGATTTACGATAAACCTTAACAAGGAGGAAACAGCCCCTCCTATGGCGGCCACACTTTATTGATACACCTATTTCTCTCTTGAGCCTTCTACCTTCCAAGCAGGCAGCCTGGCTCTCCTGCTGCTTCCTGCACTCCTACCTAAGGACACATTGTTCTTTTTACTTCTAAACACATGAGTCACAGAGCAAGTCAGCATCCAGCAGCGCCAAGCTCTTACTGTAGATGAAAAATCACCTGAACTAGCTGAGACAGTAAACAGATATGCATTTGGCCTGAATGGAAATAATTTGTTGTCAGTGGCTTTCTAATCTACACAAAGGATTGTAAATGGATATAAATCTGGATTTACAGATCATACAAAGAAGCCCACACAAGTCAAGCAAGTGGGTAATTCAACACAGAAACAAAAAAAGCAGGCAACTGAGGTTAATTATGAAGGACATAAATAAGACAGTGATACTCAACTTATGGCCAGGGGCTAAATCTGTTAGGGTGCCAGTTGGCCCATCAACCATTTTCTAATTCACAATGCAAATAAATTGACTTACACTTGAAAAATAATTTGTACTTTGAGTAGAAATAAGGTGCAAGGGTGCATACAAAAGCATCAAAATAGAGCTTGTTGACTGAATAAAAGGGCCAGGGGGGATCCCCCAAACCCTGACAGAGGTCAGGGCTAAGCCCCAAATGTCCTCATGTGCTACAAACGCCCCTGCTTACAACTGACCTGCAACTGGATTTGCCTCTTGGCAAAGATAAGTGAAGACAACAAACATAGAAAGCTTGAACGCAGGCAGCAACTAATGTTATATATAAATCCTGATAAATATTATTGATGTTTGTTTATTAAGTGGCCCCTGGCCTCCTGTCATATTGCAAACGTGGCAAAGCAAGTTGAGTATTCCTGTTGTAAGATTTAATCAAAGCAAGAGAGTACCAGAAATGTCAGTAATACATAAAATTGCAGTAAATTATACCTTGGTGAAGTTTCACTACGAAATTTATGATGAATTCTGGTGCTAAGAAGTTGAACAGATGCCCCAGCACCAAGCTACAATATGAGCTCCTGATACTGAGAGATAATCTACCAACCAGAAGCAACAACTGAAGATTGAAGGGCCTCTGCACACAATCCCCTGCACTATGATCAACCTGATCCCCTGTCCTATAGTCTCCCAGGGTTTAATCTTCTTCACCCACTTTTGCTTTTCCATTCGTCTTACTCTCTGATTACTGTTGTAGGACTTGAAAGACAAGGTGACCCAGCTGCTCCCCCTGCTGCCAGTGCTAGAACAGTACAAGACGGATGCCAAGATGATCCTGCGACTTCGGGAGGAGGTGAGGAATCTGTCCTTGGTGCTGATGGCCATCCAAGAAGAGATGGGTGCCTATGATTATGAGGAGCTTCGCCAGAGAGTCCTGCTGCTGGAGACCAGGCTCCACTCCTGCATGCAGAAATTAGGTATGAGTTATGTGCAACTGGGTGTGGGTGCGTGGGTGGGTAGTCATTGAGTGTTTAATTTTAAATTTATCCTCAAATATTAATGTTGCACATAAACAATAAGAGGTTAGAAAACAGAAATGCAGAAAGGAATCAATGATAAAACTATCAGCGGTCAAAAGTCTGTTGTACACTGGTAACAACTCTCCACTCTCCTTTGTATTCGAATTATCTGCATAAATTAAGAAAAAAAATGGCCTCGAAAGCCTAAATGAATAATTGATTGTGTTTATGTGTAATGTGTTAGCACAAACTGATGATTTTACAAAATCCCTTATATACGAACTGATGACTTAACAAGAAAAGACTGCAGTTATACTTTAGCCTTTTGGGTCATTGGTGTTTTGCTATTGTCTTCCACTGACTTCAAGCATTTGCAAAAAGATGCATGCAGAGAGATAATAATTACACATAACAACTGCTCACTTATATATTATATAATATGTTTATAAAAAACTTTGATGAAGTGCTTTACAAAACTGGGTAAGCAAATGCAAACTAAAGGAAAATAAGAAAATGGTGAAAGAAATCTTAGAAAAGTGATAAAAATACTTGCACGAACATTTCAAAATATGTTTTTTAAATTGTTACTCAATAAATCCACACATTTTGGTATATCATTTAAGAATTATCAATCCCAACCACATTTTATTTTCCTTTGACATGTATTGGATGCCATTAAATCTTCTGCACACCCCTGTAAAATTGCAAATTCTTATATCTATCAATAAATCTATCTGTCTTTTAAATGCAGCATTTATGTCTGTGAGAATCCTGTCATTTAAATAGATACATGTGGGTGTCATCTGCAGAAAGTGAAGAGATCATATTTTTATAGATGCACATAAACTGAAACCCCTAAATTGCCGAAACCATACAGGGCCTTGAACCCAGCCTTGTGGAACACCATGTTTTAAATTAGCTTTATAACTGGAGTTCCCAGGCACAAAAATAAATGTCTGTCTGTGTGCCTGTCTGTCAAACCCCCTTTACACTCTGCATTAAAATGCATTTAGGGTGATCTAATTGTATTTGGATAGCACTTGATCACAGGAAAATACAGGTTTAAATGTACCCAAAACGCATTGAACACGGATTGTGATCTGTTGGCCAAACCACCTGCGGAGGTGTTCAGGGACGCGTTGTGACCACACTGAACCCAAGTGTAAATGCAATTGTGTTTTCAAGCCATGTACAACAACTACATGGGTGGAAATTGGTAATCAGGCACAACTGTTTCAAACCAGCAAAGTAGCAGCAGCTCTCCCTCACATGACACTGAAGCTGCTTAAAACTTTGGCAGTCTCCATCATCTGTAATGTATTCTTCCTGTAGATCAGTGTCTTTACAATTACATAGATTGGCTTCATTCTTGTCTGCCTTGGTGTTGCCGTCTAAATCTTTGTGACTGGCTCTGACATATATAACAAAGCAAATTGTGGACCAGCAAAGATTTCTTTAAATATTTAATTTACTTTATGCCAATACTGGCTATAAAATCACTGACAGTATGTGGGCAGAGCCTGTTCGGATTGTGTTGCATTATATCTGAATATGAGACATATTTTAATGCAAGGTGTAAAGGAAGTGCTTTTGTGAGTGTGTGTTTGCACACACAGTGCCACAGTGTGTACATGTTGACACACATACATTTGTTTCATGTCTTGACTCTATTTCATCTTTGACCTCCAGGCTGTGGAAAGCTGACGGGCGTCAGTAATCCCATCACGGTACGCGCATCGGGGTCAAGGTTCGGCTCCTGGATGACAGACACCATGATCCCCAGCTCAGACAACAGAGTAAGTCCCTCAGGTTTTGTGCTCAGCCCTCGCTAGAACCCATTAGTCCATGCTACCTACTTCATGGTACCACAAATAAAGAGGATAAAGTAGAGCGAAAGTCACTGTCAAAAAACTCTCACAGCTGCTCAATATAAAAAATATCCCTCACAGCAACACTGTCATGATACTTCAATGACTGATTGACTGTTTTGCCCAAGTAGGACTACTCGTGAGCTCTGGAGGGGGAGAGACAGAGAGAGAAATGGGGATGCAAAGCTGAGTCACTGATGGATAGCATCCCTTTTCCTTCTCCCTGTCTACCTCTGTCACTGCAGCTCCAGCTGATTAATCACTTCATCATCAGTGGAAAAATGAATGAGTTGTTTGGGCTAAAGTTTTCTATATCACCTAGGTAATTACCAGGAGTGTGCTGAGTTGCACTGGACCCAGATGATATAGTAATGGCTTTAGCTGATTAGAGATGACATGCGGTTTCATTTGGGCAGATACATGGTTAAGAAGCAGGTGGAAAACGACACAAGTGAGGGAGGAAGGGAAGAAGAATTGTGGAGCCCAGTGAATGGGAGGAGCAGTGGTGGTGGTGGGGAATTGGAAGAGTGGATTATTAGCCATCTGTAGGGGAGAATGGAAACTGATGAAGTTTAAGAGGAGAGATGACGATGGCCTTTTTTCATCCCCACTCTGATCCATAACAGGCTAAATAGATGTTGCCAACAGAGAAGGTCAGTTTCTCTGATTGAATGTCTTGATCTTTGTCTTTAATCACCTTACTTGCTGAGATCACATCAGACTCTTTAGATCAATCACTGATTGTATTAATAGCTACATACATCAACAATATCACATCAACACCCTGCACCAATCATGATAATCATATTTGGGATACATCTTGTCGTTGAGGAGCCAAACAAAGCGGAGCCAATGTGCTAACGCTTCGGCCTGGCTCAGCTCTAGGGACTCATTTAGCAGGCAGGGGAGAAACAATGCTCCATAATCTCCCCTTCTCCATAATTCAGCTGCTGTACCACACCTCCCGCAACTCTTCCCATACGCTTTCTCCCCGCTGACTGGAATTGTTATTGAAAAGAAAAGTGCCTATTTTATACCTGGGAAGACGGTAAGAGCAGGAAAAGAGAGAAAGAGGACAAAACAGTTGGGTGGAGCATCAGAAGTAGGAGAGCTAAATCTTAGCAAAGCTCTCCTTGATATGTTAAGGACAAAATAAATATCCAAGCCAACTGCAGTTTAATCGAATCAATTAAAAGCTAAACTGTGCCTTTGCAGAAGCATTGAGGGAATGAGATGGGAGATGCAGCCATGGAGGGGCCATGTCAGTGGAGAGATCCGCTGAGAGTGCTTGAGGAAAAAAGACAGAGCTGCTAAATGGATTGATTTTCTGTAAATGTGGACTGGAAAGGCCAGGGAGCACAAGCAGTGGTTGACTGCAAAGCACAGGGAATGTCTTCACTCCCACACACACAGAGAAGAGATCAATAGTTCTGCACACATGTATGAAGTATGCACAGAAAGACACACACCCACACTCACCAAGCAGAGACTCACCATAGACACACAACATGCTTACTTTGTTCAGGGCATCGCCACCAGCTATAATGAAACGTTGCTCACAGTGCTCTTGCAAATAGGTGTATCAGGTATAATATTCTCCTATAACTTCTAGATCTTTTCATTATTTCCTGTTGTTTGTTGCCTCCCAATAGGATTAATTTATCTTCTCTCCACAGGTGTGGTCCATGGATGGTTACTTCAAGGGACGTCGTGTCCTGGAATACCGCACAATGAATGATTTCATGAAGGGCCAGAACTTTGTGCAACACTTGCTGCCTCACCCCTGGGCAGGCACTGGTCATGTGGTCTACAATGGCTCGCTGTACTACAACAAGTACCAGAGCAACATCATCATCAAGTACCACTTCCGTTCACGGAGTGTGCTGGTGCAGCGCAGCCTGAGTGGGGCCGGCTATAACAACACCTTTCCCTATTCCTGGGGTGGCTCCTCTGACATCGACCTGATGGCGGATGAGAATGGCCTGTGGGCAGTATACACGACCATCCCTAATGCTGGGAACATTGTCATCAGCCGCCTGGAGCCCCAGAGTCTGGAAGTGCTGCAGACTTGGGACACAGGCTTCCCCAAGCGCAGTGCAGGAGAGTCTTTCATGATCTGCGGTACACTTTATGTCACCAACTCCCACCTGGCTGGTGCCAAGATCTACTTTGCCTACTACACCAACACATCGAGCTATGAGTACACAGACATCCCCTTCCACAATCAATACTCCCACATCTCCATGATGGACTACAATCCCAGGGAGAGGGTCCTGTACACCTGGAACAACGGACACCAGGTGCTCTACAATGTCACACTGTTCCAGGTTATTAAGACTTCTGGGGACTGAGAGCCCTCAGACTGACCCACTCAAATTATGCTGTGATCATTGTTCGGGGAGGGGCAAATGAGCTGGGTGGGGGTGGGTGCAGCTTGTGGGTGGTGTGGGTTGGGGGGGGCTTCAGTGTATGGGCATAGGCTTGGATTTTTTTAAAGAATTTCAATCTTCATAGAGTGCTATTATTCACATTCTCAAAAAACACTCCGGCAGCAAGGTCGGTAAAGATACAAAGACTGAGCGCTTCTCTTATTTTTCTTCCTGTGATGAGTAAGCATGGTTCTTTTTATTTGTGATGAGAAATAAATATCAGTCTTTACCATTTATGACTTTGTATTTCATTGTCACTTTCGTTTCGAGGAGACCTTCGCTGTATCTTGGAGAGGTGAGCAACAAAAAGATAGACTTTCTGTGTTGTTGTAAAAACATGGCTTCAAACTCGGCTGTGTGTTCTCCTGAGGTGGGTGCTTCTTAAAGGTATAAATAGGTGTATCGCTTCTTTTTTAGTTTTGACTAATGTTTCTTTTATTTCTTTTTGAATGAAGGGGACTTGAAAGTATTTATTCTTTGTTGTTCACTGAAACCTTGCTAAGAAACTCAAAACATAGACAGTGTGTTTAGAATAATTGAAGCTGTTTTTCAGCATGAAATCTAAAACACTTAGAGTCCCCTTCCACTCACAAATGTGTTATATGGTTATGTCCCCTAAAATGTCTGACCTCGACTACACTGACTTGTATCTGTGTCAGGGGAGGTGTTTTCACGTTCCTCTACTGAATGGGGTGATGTCTGTTAGGGCTGGGAATCGCCAGAGGACGATACGATATGATATTATTACAATACTTAGGTCATGATACAATGTTATTGCGATTTTGCGATATGCTGAGTATTGCAATACACTATATTGTATTACCTTTTTCCCCAACTGCAAATTATTTCCCCAAAGGCAAACATGAATTTTTCTTCATAAGATGAAGTTTTCAGTCTGTTCATTTGACTTTAGTCATTTTTATTGCAGCAAAATGTGATGCACAGTAGACAGACTGACCAACACTGTCATAAAACCTGTCATAAATGCTGCAAACACCTGACAAACTTAACTGTTGGCAGATTTAACACCTGCTGCAAGGCCAGATAAAGCATGAGAGTGACTTATGTGCTCCGGTGTGACTTATGTGTACTGCTTCAGTTTAGAAAACGTGAGACCAAAGTTGCCAGTTCTCTGTGGGATAATGTGCCGTTATAGTCACATACGAATCCACTGACCTATAAGTCCAGACATCACAAGTTACTGCCACCCTTCCTACTGTACTCAAAGTTCCTTGACTTTATGCTTCGTGTCTCTGTCGAGCTTGGATGCGGCTGTGTTGGTAAAAAACCCCGTCTGGACAGAGTCACATACTGAAGGAGTGATTTTAGCATGTAACCAAAGCCTTCGTTTTCAACAGTGCTGTATGGACGCACATCTTCGCACATGAAGTAGGTGATGGACTGTGCTATTTTCTTAGCTCTCTCATAATTGGATGGTAGTTTTGTCAAGCTATGTGTGTCCCGGGTTTAGCACTAGCTTAGCCTTCAGCAGTAAATGCTATCTCTGGATGGTGGAGTGTGAGGTGAACCCTCATGTTCATAGCATTCGCGGAGTATTCTCATGTGACACTGCTTGGCAATCACATGTGTCATATCCAAATCCTTCTTTTTTTCTATGTTAAAAAATCCAAAATAAGTCCAGACGTTTGATTTAAACACCGATTTGTTTTCACTTTGTTTCTCTGGTGCCTCAGTCTTTGTTTGGATGAACTTCCTGCCAAATGCTGCTGACTGAGACTGCTGACCTCACCAGGAAAAAAAACAAACATCAGCACCATCTAGTGGACCGAGGAAGCGAATGATTTTATTATTCTAGTACGAAAAGTTTTATTAAAATGTGTATTTGCAAAAATCAATGATGTGTATAATAAAAGATCGATATTTGGCATCTGTGTATAGATACAATATCGCCATGCAAAGAATCGCGATATTATGCTGTATCGATTTTTTCCTCCACCCCTATTTTTTTCCCTAAAATCTGAGATTTAAATATATGTCGTGCAAACTAGATTAGGTACTTTACTAATACCAGGGTTAGAAAGTAGCACCAGCCACTAGCCAAATGCTGGCAAAATATGAGAGTATAGGACATCATCACAGCGAACATGGCTTTACAACTTTATTGTGGTGGTGACATTACCTCATGCGGCTGTAGTGTAGTTTGTTTATAGCCAAAGATTAGCGTGGTGATTGTATTTATGCTTCAAATAAAAGTGGTGTTCATTTGTAAAGATTATCTTGCTGCAAAATATGTAACTATTATAACCTTTTGTTTGCCACAGAGCTTATTGTCTGCAATCATCCAAATCCCAATGGAAAATCCCATTGGCTAGTTTTCTTTTTTCTTAACTATTATGTGGAGAAACAATATTCAGTTAAACATTAGTGTTACTGTAAGTATTACATACTTTAAAAAATGTCTGGAGAAGGACCTTACACTTTTAAAAATAAGTTGAATGGCACAATTTCAAAACAATTAAATGGAATAATTGTGTCTGTCTTGCTGATACTGAGTGGCTATTACTGCCACAGCCAAATCATAAAATAATGAGGTGACAGCATATGAATACTGACAAGTCAATCTTCAGGGCTGCATTAAACTATATCTCCGAAAACATTTCGTCCAATTCTTTCCATCTAAAAGAAAAAGCCAGGGCACAGGGCTCTGTGTAATAAAACAAAATGCTTTCACATACTCAAACAGCATTAAATTTAACTGCAATAGCCACAGCTTACATTTTATATTTCAAGGTGAGCTGGAAATGAAAGCGAAGCGTCTGGTAAAAGGAGCAGGTGGCGGCGCGTAGGGTCGAGAAGCACAAACAGAGAAGGAGAGACGAATTGTAAAAGGAATTTCTAAGAGCATTTACATTTGAGTGGAGGAATGAGGCTTCACAATTACTGTTCCATGTCAAGCTCAAACAGAGAAGGAGAGACAAATTGTAAAAGGAATTTCTAAGAGCATTTACATTTGAGTGGAGGAATGAGGCTTCACAATTACTGTTCCATGTCAAGCTCCAATCTGTTTTAATCTTGTTAGTCGCACAGCTCCGCTCAGGTGCTTTCTGCAGAGAAATGTTCATACACAAGGCATTCAGTGGGACGCTGCTCACATGAAAGTCTCAAACTACAAACCTTTTCATTGCATCTTTGTTATTATTTGCAACTGAAAATAACTTTGAGGCCACGTCAGCATTCTCTTGCTGTATGAGGGCACTGTGGCAAAAAGACAACAGCCCACTGTGCTGTCGTTTCTTTTGTTCCTTTCATTTATTAGACTTGTGAGGGTGCAGTCGTTCTTTGCAGAGTCTGTGGTGGACACAGAAGATATAAAATAAAATAGGAGGTTCCATTTTTCTTTTCCTGCGTAACCATGGCAATCCTATTCATCCTGGATGACCTTTCTATCAATAAAGTGCAGTGCTGAAGAGAACCCTGATGAGTTCATACACAGGAGTGGCTGACATTTAAAGCACAATACAGTACACAACAATACAGCACATCCAATAGTATCAGCTAGAAAGAGTGCAGTGTAAAGTACACTGTAGAGGGGAAGTGCAAGTTGTGGAGTTACAGTAAGACAGCAATGTGGAATAGATGTAATGGGTTGCTGGAGAAACCAGTAAATTGACAGTAATCAGGAGGGTCGAACTGGAAGCAAAATTCGTCCCTGGCAATTTCACTCTGGACCGGCCCCATCGCGGCTGCATCACCCTGGGCTTCCATATTGATTTAAAAATGATTTTATTGCTTGTACTAATGATCAGACCTGTGTCTATAGCAATGACCTGTTATTTGTAGCAGTGGTCTGCTACTCTCGATATCAGCTTTGGGGAAAGATCATTTCCGCTACTGTTTGTAGCAGTGCAGAGAGCTGCTCATGACACCAACATGTCAACACCAACAGAGCTGCTGGATGACAGGCTGTATGACTGACAAGCTCATTAAAGGTCGAGGCTCGGCCAGTTTAAAGAAATTTATGCATACTCATACTTTAATCATGTTTTAAGCGAGTGCAGAGGTATCATAAGACAACCTTAGGCATGACTCAGAGCAGATCAGGGTGAGTTTTTCCTCATATCTTAGATCACCAGAGAGGCCTTCAGAATAATCAAAAGCCATGTTGGCCCCAATATTCCTCAATCAAAATGTAATTCAAGGTTGTGAGATTAACCAGAAAGGATGAAAAACAGGAGCTCACTCAAGATTTTGCAGTGTACAGTCCACAGAATACTCCTCCTTTATGTTTTTTTGCTCCCATATCCATCTAATTTGTATTTACATTCCACTTACTTTGCTCTTTCTGACTTAATTTCATTTATGTCCTATTTGACTTCCCCTGCTTGATCTGACATTACATGATGGACCAATCCACCTGAAGGGGTTGGGGGAGGTGACGGCAGCCGGCACCACTGCAGCTGTTCTATTGTATAGGTAGGCTATTGACAATTTTGGGACCATGTCACCCCTAATCAGATAATCAGGTGGGCCGTTCCAACATTAAGTGGGTGGCAGCACATACAGATTTCTTGTTTTTCCCAACAACTTTTTTAGTTTTCTCTACACATATAAACCGACACGATTGAGGTGAAAGTGAAAGACTGTTGCTCTTGCTGTGCTGAGATTAGATCCACCACAGCATCCTCTCTCTGCTCTCCCACTATCTAAACCAAAAAAATAAGGATGATCGGACTGCTGGAAAAAAATAGCAAATGTGCAGGCAATTATAAAAAAGGGCAGAAGGTTGCTTCTTTTAAAAGAAGTGTCTCGCGGATCATCTTTTAATAAAGTCTGGAGCTGACAGTTTCACCAGTGCACAGAGGTATTTAATGTTAGGCATGACTGGTTAAAATGGACCTACACTTTCCAGGCAACAAACTTTTCCCCTTAACAGAGAGCAGAGAAGGAAATAATGACTGCACGCAGATAATGCAATCTCTTTGATCAAAGACACTGAAAAATAAAGTCAGCAGACTAGAAAGATGCAC